TAAAGTCGCAGTGGAGGATCATGCGCGACGGATACAAAAGAAACAGAGTCCTCAGGAGCGGTTCCGAAGGAAGAAGTAGTGGATTTAATTCATGCCTGAGCTATTTAGATGAAGCTGACGTCGGAGGGTATGCGAAAAATCTGTTTACTCGTAGTTCCCAAGCAATGTTCTATTTTCAGCACGCGTTCGACAAATATTGCAGACACGGGAGAAGATGATTCGTCAAATCTTAGAGACACAGGTGTTGAAGATTCGTCAAATATTAGAGACTCAAGAGAAGAAGATTCGGATTACTATCAAGACGAGAACGGTATCATGTTCGTAGATTTATATTTTTACACTGTACTCTATTAAATTCAGAACCCCCTCCACCTAATTACTTGGGGAGAGGCGATGGAGATTCCTCGGAAACCAGCAATAACCTTCCAAGGACCTACGAGCCGAGAGCATCTATTTTGGGCAAGCGAAATACTCAGGTGTGGGAGACACCTATCACGAAAAAACCACGTTCCTCCGACAGCAGTCTCAAAAAAGGAGGAAGCGATAAGGCAGTTGGTGAGCATTTTTTTTAGTTCATGTGTAATTCACTCTTTTGCAGAACGTATGTCCGTCCTTGAAGCCGTAGACATGGTGAAAACAAAAGCAGCGCGCCTGAGTACATACGATGACGAATACAGCCATTTCGGTTAGTACTTGGTGATCCAGGAGCGCAATAAAAAACCATCTTTTTAGGTGCATTCGTGGGACACGTACTACGAGGATTCAATAAAGATGTCGCCAGATCGAAATACCAGCAAATTATGGAAATTCTCTTTGCCACCAGCGCGGACGATAAGCAAGACCAGCCACCCCATCCCCAACAATGGTCTCCCGATCCCGACGAGATCGAAGTCTTGGAAGAAGACAAGGAATCAGATTGATTGATGTATCAGCTTTGCAAATGCACTACTACCTCTCTTCCTGTATGTTGTTTTGTTCTTGCTTCGCAGTCGTATTCGCCCATTATCGAAGCTTCAATACTTACTTATCAATTCATATTTACTTACCACTCAGGTTACCGATTCTCGTTTTGAGTGTCTTTCGACTTGTGTTCCTAACCTTAGACCCTTTTTCGTACTATAAAGAAGTTGTTGTTGTTCATGATTACTGAATATTGTAATATTGAATATTGAATATTGTTCATGAATAAATGTTATTATTCAAGGATGATATATACATACAAGGCAATAAAACAAAAAGTATTCAAAGTCTCGCAGGCCCATCCTTGTCGATATAATATTGCGTAAGCCGTTCTCTCGCTCTGTTGGCAGATTCAGTGCCAGCCTCTGGTTCTTCTCTTTGAAGGGGATGATAGGCTGCGTTCGGTGCTGGCTCAAACCGCTGCACAGTCTCCAAAGAGTCTTGCCTGCGCGGGAGTAAGTTGTGAAGAATCTGAGATATGCGATATCTCACTGGTTTTCATGAAGTTGTAAAGAAATCACCAAAAGAGATATCACAAGTCGCTGAGTTCGAACGGGATCCAAG